AAAAAAGTAGCTTGTCCCATATCGTCACCTTTTGAACGAATTCAATACCGAAACGGTTGCTGACAGCTCGTGTAAGTAGTATATCGCGTCTGCTGGTGCCTTTCCAGACAACCCTTATTGTGCCCCACCACCTCGTGCTGCTATGGTGGCCAAAAGTGGTCACTTTATTTGGCCTTGAACCACAGTTCTGACCCTTTTTCGCTTTCCTCCAATCCATGATCTGTAGCCTCGAGATTGACTTACAATCGTCAGAGTGTATAGCTCCAAGCGTACACCGTCGAAGCGCCGAATCGCGCCATCATAACCGACATGAGCATCGAGAATCTCGGTACCGTTCCGTTGTGTGTCCGTGTGTGCATGCATTCGTGTGCGCGTCTGCAAAGCGCAGCAATACGAAATGAAGAGTCCCAATGCAAATGGGGCTGAAGATGCGACGAAAATGCGCCCACCGATACAGACGGATGGAGGATTGTTGCCGCGGAGGGAAAGTTGCGAGTCTGGTTTGCAGGTTGGCGTCAAATGTGTCCTGAGCTGGGCCTGCTCGGAACCGGGTTGGAGCGGCGACATTGGTTGAGGCAAGCGGACACAGGCTCAAAATGGACGTGCGGGTGGAGCAGTTTCGGTATCTCAGACTGGTCAGTCCTCGTGGAAAGGGGACCAGCGTCAAATGTGAAATTGAGAAGAGAAGTCAAACCGCTCATCATCTTCGTGCATGGCCATACCGACCAACGCCATGGATTGATGCACACAAACTCTCTATCTCACACACACACACACACTTGCACAGCGGGACGGACAGAAAACGCACCCCGGCACATGTGTGCAGTATTAAACAAATACATCTCATACTACTTATTTACTGATAGTCTCGAAGCTCTACTCAAATACGAAAAATAAGTAACATAGTTGATTGTTGTAGCAAATATACGCTTGCTTCATAGACAATCCCACCAAAGAATGGGATTTTGCAAAAAGGCACTCGTGCCAATTTGGCAGAGTGGTTGACGTGTCACAGTTCGACTCCCGCTGGGAGTCGAACCTGCAGTCCACTCCGACCGGGATGGCAACAACTTTGGGGAAGGCAAGGCTGTGTGGAATCCAATGGAAATGTCGGCTCTACTAAAAATCATCGTGAATACATATCATATTATTTATGTACTGATAGTCGCGAAACTCTACTCACATACGAAAAATGTTACTTTTGACTCGACCGGGCCTCGGCAACAAAGAGGCGATGTAACCTCCAGAAGTTTCTAGTCCCTTTCGGTTTCAGATACAGAATCGTTTTCTCGTGCTTGTCGCCCGATTAGTGAGAGAAACTGGCCGGACAACTGCTCGTTGCCATGCCACAAATTGAGGCGTCGGGGTTAGCTTCTCAGGCGGACGTGAGAAAATTTCGGTAATTTTGGTGTGATTTCAGAATCCTACCTTCTTTCAATCCTCGAGTCCACGCTTCGAATCCACTCGGCGGTGAGGCGGGCATTGCAATTCGCTCTTAGCTACACCCCAGATAGACTTTCGGCCAGTTTTTAGACATGTCAAACTACTGAAAAACGAGTAATAAGTAGTATCGCACACAATATTTTGGTAGCATGCCGAGACATCATTTAATCGGGCTTACCGCCTGTCGACGCGTAGCTTCGACAGTCGAAGCGGTTTTGAGGCGAAAACCTTCAGAAATGACATGTTGCAAGAGGAACAGCCGGCAAAATCTAAATACCGCATACAGAAATGTGATGCATACAAAACATCTCTCCTTCGGTCCTAAACGTGCATACAAACACGCCAAGTTCACGGCAATGTAGCCTCCATCGTGGATATTCCCGGTTCGAGTCCCGCTATCCATCACCGGAGGTCTCTTCATCAGTCCGTTGTGGTAGACTCAACTATTATTCTTTTGGGCCGCCTAAGGTTTGTCAGGCTCGTCAGTATTTTATGAATACTAATTAATTATTATCGTTTTCTTGCCAAAGTATTGGGTTAATAATCTGTATTCAGGAGACTTAGAGCTCAACAGCGTCACAATTTCGTGCCGCTTCTGCAAAATGTTGAGAAGGTGAACACAATTGTGTGGACAAGTCGGTGGAATCCTTTCAATAATTGCGAGCATCGGGTGCAAACTTCTCCTCGGGTTGGCCTGAAATTGCCTCTCTTGAAGGTCGGAATCAACAAGTCAAGTTTCTGTCGAGGATCTCGATCCGAAGAAGCCTTTCAGGGCCGGTCGAGTAAATAACAGACAGGCAAAGAGCTTAAGGTCTGGGTGGTATGAGATAGATCGAGAGAAGGATGATAGGCGGTTTACTCATGAGTAGTATGTCACCTGGATGATCGAAATTAGCCATTAAATTTGTCATTTGGCAGTCGAACCGGAATATAAACTAATTTCATTTCTGTACTGATGTGGTAATGAGGCAAGGCTATCGTTTTCCACACAACGGGCCTAGTCCGATTCTCTTTGGGGTGCTGAGTGGATTCGAGAGTTTTAATATGGTGCGAAACGTCTGGGAATGTACCACGTCCACGGTTGAAATTTGGAAATGATGATGCATCCAATGGACTCCGGACCAGGTGCATTCCTCTAAGTCTTCCTACCAACATGACCAAGTTGCGAAAACAAGGTCAAACAACTTGTAAATTTAACTATTGTTATGAATAATATCTCTATTTTGTGCAAAAGTGCCGGATTAAAAAATTCGAAGCTTCATCTAGCCGGAAGGTGAGAGCAGATTTCATTTAGCGTGAGTGTGGATGATTATCATAGTCCAAATCTGATCCTATCTCGAAACGACGGTGGAATCAAGCAGTTCTGCGGTCGTTTGATGCCATCTTGACATTTGGTTTGACACAGTCAAGAAAGCATATTTTCCTAGAAGTGGGTTGACATCTTTCTCACAACTTGGTCTTGTTGTCAGGGCGACTTGGTAGAACGCCCCTAGTCCAAATTCGTCTGTCATAATTTCCAGCATCAGACAGTGGACTTGGTACATTGTCAAACGTTTCGTCGGCATTGCAGTCGGCATCATCAGCTAGTGCTGTCATTCTCTACACCAAGCTACGAATTCGTCAAAGAAGCGTTTGAGAATGTATCAAGTCCACTTTCTGATGCTGGGAATTATGATAACTACTAATGATCAATATAAGTAGTGTAATTAATATAATAACAAAATTCGAATATATGAAGATCAAGATGGTTTGGCCCCCCTGTTTGGTCGAAGTCTTATTTCGATTTATAAAAGTCGTTTGACCTCGTTTTCGCAACTTGGTCTTGTTGTCAGGGCGACTTGGTAGAACGCACCTAGTCCGAAGTCGTCTGTCATGGAAGTTGTCATAATTTCCAGCATCAGACAGTGAACTTGGTACATTGTCAAACCTTTCGCCGGCATCGTAGTCGGCATCATCACCAAACTACGAATTCGTGAAAGAGACAAGTGTAGTCAATTCCCCTTCAAAAAGAAGGCGACTCAATTTGTCTGCTCAATGATGTTTCTAATTTCACTCACATTCACCCAAAA